GGGGGTTCTCTGAACTGCACAGAATCTTAGCTAGGGGCTCTATTGAATCCCTGTGAACCCCCAGCAGCCCACCCCTGTTTTCAATGACTACGTCACTGCCTTTTAAGGCTGACGGGCAATGACATTTTAATATCCAGTCTTATTGGTGAAAGTGGTACCTCAGGACAGAGTATTAGGAGGTAGAAAAACATGGGGCTCAAGGGGTGGCCCTGAGGAGCAACCAAGTTGGTTAAATCAAAGCTCATTTTCTTTGCCAGCCATTGAACAGAAACTGTTACTTTAATGGACCATGAACTGATGGCTTTTCTAATAGGATGCATTTGTTAAATGATGCTGGGCAAGTCCACTCGAGAAGAGGATGATTTGCACCTTGTTTTTCTTCTTAAATTTACTTTAAAAAAAAAAACAAACCCCAAATCTGAGATGCTTCTAAAAGTAAGATGCAACCTTTACATTGCACATACAAAAAACCATAAGCATGGATATTTGAAGTGGATAATAAAGATACACTGGAAACATTTAATGAGGAACTCAGCTACCAAATTTTGACATTTTCGGAATTGCTTGTATGACACCTCCTTTCAAAAGAATGTCACAGTGGAGTGATGGTTGACGTTAAAGCGTAGAGGAATGGAAAACGTTTAAGGCATTCTGTCGTCCAACATCACAAGATGTCAGGGAGCAAGAAACCTCAATCCTGCTACCAGCATTTACAAAGCAGGCCCCTTTTTCCAATGTGCTAAAGAGAAATAAGTAGCACGTAGGTGGGTTTAACCAATTTTTCTGTGATTCCTGTCTCCTCCCCACCCAACTCCACCCTAATTCCTGTTATAATGGTGACTTGGCACTGATTTTTGGTATTGTAATGTGCAATATTTGGAAAGCTGAAAGAGCAACCAAATAATTAGGGAACTGGGGAATGAAACATATAAAGAAGGGTTACTGGAATTGGGTGGGTTGAGTTTAATGAAAAGAAGGACTAGGAGTGACGTGATAGCAATGTTCTAATATGTAAGAGGTTGCCACAAAGAAAAGGGAGTCAACCTATTTTCTAAAGCACCTGAAGGCAGGATAAGAAGCAATGGATGAAAACTAATCTAGGAGAGAAGTAATCTAAAGCCAAGGAGACACTTCCTGCCAGTTAGAACAATTAATCAGTGGAACTACTTACCTCCAGATGTTGTGGAGGTTTTTAAGAAGAGATTGAACAAACATCTGTCTGAAATGGTATAGGGTTTCCAGCCTGGCTCAGTTGTGTGCTAGTCCAGCCCTCTTTTAGAAAAAGCTGACCAGCCATTTGTATTATGGAAATAAAAAAAAATCATCTGGGCTAGGATAAGGAATGCACCAGTTTCCATTCTCTAAAGAATCTCTCTGAAATGAATCCATCCTAATAAATATTCCCAGAGATTCTTTAGGCAGTTTTTGTGCTCTGCCCTTAAAAGCTTTAATCAACTTGTTTTCCAAAATTCTTGTAGATTCTGTGAATGTATATAGTGCGTGTGTATATATACATCACATATTCTGCCAAAAAACTAATCAGCGCACTAGATGTCAGGTCTCAGTTCTGCTCCCAACCGGCATGAACAACTCCAGAAAATTGAACAATTGGCCAGTAGAAGCCAGCTTCAGCACAGCACATTGCATATTGACTGATTATGTGCCATAAAGTAGATTTTGACTTCTAGTGGCCACACAGATACTCCATGAATCACTACATATACATATTCATTATAAGCCACTTGAAAATGTTCTGATCAGAATAAATGATTTCAACGAAGAAATGAATATGCATTCCTCATTTTCATTGTCTTCCATCCTGAGATTTCTTTCTTATATTCGTCCCACTACACTTTTCAATAAAAATAGGGGTTTTGAGATTCTACATTGGGAGAGTGGCTATGTCTTCAATGGAAAAGAAAAGGAAGGTAGGCTAAAGATGGCAGCTGGGTTTACTCAGTGCAGGGGGCCCCAATAAGTAGTTGGTTCAGCTATTTATTTTGCATTTATTGCTATTCTGCTATTGCTCATTTTTCTATTTGGCAAATGCCCAATTTAAACCAGGTCCTTCCAGCAAGCAGCAGCTTTGTTCCTCCTGAAATGCAGACACTTACATAGGCAACTTCTGTACATCAGTTAAGCCCTTTGTTCTCTACACCTTGTCTGTTACAGACAGATGAAAAGTTGTGTGAGTTCCATTAATCGTTTATGTTAATTGTGTTGAATGTTTACCCCCTTAAAACATTAAAGACTACTTAGTAGAAAGGGAGCAAACAATTTAATACATACATTTGTTTCAATCCAGGAAAGAAAAAGAGGCATCAGATATGAGTTTATTTCTTAAAGTCACGTATATTCCATAGAAGTATAACATTACTCATTGTAGCTTGCAGACTATATATTAAAATTACATGTTTAAGCCTGCAACAACAAGAGACTTTTGCAGCCTTGCCTCAAGGCGAAAGAGATCTCTTTTATATTCTTTTCGGTTCCTGAAGTTGTTAGAGACAATCAGAAGAAAATCATAGGTACTTGAGGAATAATTATAGTAAGCCTAAACAAAGCTGTGCTTGGCCAGAACTTGTGTGTTTGTATATTCATTTGTGGAAGTAGGTATAAATCCTGCACCTGTATCAATTATGACAGCTAAATCAGATAATATAACAGATTATAGATATACTATATAATAGTTATAACAGTTTAGATCCACAAAAATCTCACAAATTGCTCGCAATGTGATTCTATGTGGTCTACATTTCCTCTTACAGGAAATAATGAACAGGTAGTCCTCAATATTTGATCCCAATTCAGCCCAAAATTTCTGTTGCTAAGTGAAACATCTGTTAAGTGAATTTTGCCCAATTTTACAGCCTTTCTTGCCACAGTTGTTAAGTGAATCATTGTAATTGTTAAGTTAATAATACAGTTGTTAAATGAATCTGGTTTCCCCATTGACTTTGCTTGTCAGAAGGTCGCAGAAGCTGATCACATGATCCCCAAGACACTGCAACCGTCATAAATGTGAGTCAGTTGCTTAGCATCTGAATTTTGATCACATGATCACGGGCAGCGGTGGGGTTCAAATAATGTAACAACCGGTTCTCTGCCCTAATGATTTCTTCCAACGACCAGTTCACCAAACTGCTCAGAAACTTAACCGGTTCTCCTGAAGTGGTACGAACTGGCTGAATCCCACCACCGGTCACAGGAATTGTGCAGCAATTGTAAGTATGAAAAAATGGCCATGTTACTTTTTTCAGTGCCATTGTAATTTTGAATGGTTATTAAAGGAGCTGATGTAAGGATTACCTATACCTTGAAAGAGTTCTGCTTGGTGAAGAAAGAAAAAAAAATGAATTTGTGATTTATGGGTTTGATGATATTAATCTTACCGAAGGAGAAAAGGTAAAATATAAGTGCATCTATAACTGCTATCAAAAAGATCAGATTCTATATTCCACTGGAGAAAATTTTAACAAAATAAAAGAAAATATTAGAAAAGAAACAAAGGAAATTAAAATAGTGAACAAGCAAAAAAGAAAATATAAAATGAAAGAGTAAATAAGAAAGCTTTGTAAAAGAGCGGAATCCAGTCTTTTTGACAGCAGTTATAAATTTTGCTTTATTTTGTTAAAAATTTCTTCAATATAATATATGTGTATATAGTATATGTGTACGAGAAAGAGTTCCACTAGGTGCCATTGACCCCAAGGCATAAGACCTTCAAAGAGATTCTGGCGTGTTTGCAGTTAAATTTGCCAAACAAAAACTCCAAATTTTGCATTTTGACTTTCTTGACAAGAGAGCTTCGAGCTTTGCATGAGATTCCCTAAGGCCTAAACCACAGACCATGAAGATACAATGTCATATATAATACTTGGCAACTCCACCCAAAAAAAAAAAAAAAGGAGAGAGAGAGAGTTGTGGTCTGTGGTCCTGTCACAATATATGCTTTCCTTTGAAAGTCTCTTAGCACACTTCTCTGAATTTACTACACACAATCAGACACTAGGTCAATTGTTGAAAAAAGGACTTATTGTTTCCCAATGGAATATAATATGAAACTTTGGTTTAATAACAGCAAAGAATTATTCAACCAACATGGTTTAGCAAAGAGAAGGATCGTATTTCAAAAACATGAAATTATTGAACCAGTAAAAGAAATGGGGAAGGATGAGATCACAGTACTGACTCCAGAGTTCAGAGTTATACCTGAAGCACCTTCTAACTACAATTAGCCTAGCCTCTAATTTACAAAGTTTGTTTCCAAACTGTCTGAAACTTAAAAGATTATGTCATGGTTTTCTGCATAAAGTTACCAGTGCATAAGAACCCATTGTCACTGCCACTTTTAATTACAGTGCAAATATTACTATAGATAGTCCAAACTTAATAGTAATTGGGACTGGAATTTATCACTAAACGATGCAGTCATAAAGGCAACCATCCTGCGACTATATCACTTAGCAACTGCAATCCCAACACTCTCCATTGCTGTCATTATGTAAGGATCATGGGTTGTTAAGTGAGGATCTCACTTGACTGGGAGGACCAGTCATCAGTATCTCTTATTGAGCACCATTTCAACTTCAAACAATTACTGCTTGATTTGTGTAACTGAAGGATACTTTTAATGGCTTTAATGAATTAGGGAACATTAAGAAAAACTTTGTGGGATCAAACCAAAGATTCCCAGAGCTTCCAATTTAATTTTTTTAATTGTAGTTCTATTACATTGATAACTAGTCTCCATACCCACTTGTTCATGTTCCTAAGCAATTGATGTTCAGAATCTAATTTTGATTATTAGCCACTTGATTTATTTCTCAAATTCCCAGTTAAAGCTGAATTGATGTAAGTGTATTGATTGTACCAACTGAAAATAAAATGAGATCTTTTGAACTGGTAATTAGAAAAGTAAAGTTAAAAGACTGATAAATGCTGAAAACCCACTCCACATACATATATGTATAGCCAACATAATATTTACACTGACTCACCTGGGTACAATTGTTTAGTTGGGGCACTGAGTTGTGCAGTTTTTGAAACTCGGTAGGCAGCATCAGATCCTTTGGAATTCTTTCTGTTTATGCAAATTCCTGATGTTTTTGATATTCCTTCTGGAGATTTATGAAATTCTAATGTTTTGAGTACATCAACTGGTTCAGCTGAAACATAAGGGGAAAAAAGAATTTAGAATATTCATAATTCGGCCATAATTCTGTATCATTTCTCATACTATGACAAAAAGTTCTAAACCAGGGTTTGCCAACCTTTTGGACCTCAGGGACCACCAAACTCATAATTTTAAATCCCACGGACCAGAGACCCTGGGGAGAAAAAGTCTGCAGGAAAATTCCCCACCCTATTTTCCTACTGATCGATCATTCTTTATTTGGGATCACAGGATACTGTCTCCAGCTCTGTTCTCAGGGAGAGAGAGAGAGAGAGAGAGAGAGAGAGACTTTTGGCTTCATGCAAGGAAAGCAGCAGAAGCAGCAGAAGTCTTTCTTTCTCTCCCCCAAACTCCACCGGAAATGAGTCTTTGTGAAAATTGTTGTGCCGGTGCGGCCTGTTGGAGTAGATTCGTTTATGGTAGAGTTTGGGGGGAAAGAAAGAAAGATTTTGGCTGCTTTACTTGCATGCAGCCAAAAGCAGAAGAAAGAAGCGGAAAGAAACAGCCTGGTGGCCAGGCCAGGCGCATGGGACAAGTTCCCCCCCTCCACCCTTTCCCCCATCCCCTCACTACCTCATGTTGTTCGCAATGCAAGCAACACAAGACTTGTGTTCCCACGCAACCTGGATTAATTACTTTGGATGGTGCTTTGGGGGTGACATTTCTTTGAGAACCACCAAAGTTTTCTCACAGACCATCAGTGGTCCCTGGCCCACTGCTTGGCGACCACTGCTCTAAACAATCTCAGTGATCCAACCACAAGGCCAACTTTGGTCCACAAAATTAACCAGATTCTATTTCAATTCCTGGAATCCAATAAAATATTGGCTTGAACATTAGCAAACTGCTTTCTGCTCAGTCTGCAAATGAATTGTGAATTGACAGCTGAAATGCAGACACCTATAGACCAGAGTGCCTACACCTAATTTTTCAAGTGAAAAATGTAATGCAAATCTATTCTTTAGTTATCACACACATATTCTTACAAAGACTGCAAAAGGTAAATACCATTTGTGCCCTTATTATGGTCATCTAGTATAACCTGGCTGATGTCTTCCACTTGTTCAGCTTGTTGTTGTTGTTGTTGTTGTTGTTGTTGTTGTTGTTGTTGTTGTTGTTGTTTTATAGTGAACCTGACTCTTTCCCCCATAACTCTTGATTGCCCTGAGTTTTGTGCTGTCTCACTTCTTAGCCAATCCCCAGACCCTTATAGCAATACCTCCTGAAAACACCCTTCATGGTAGACTTGAGTGAAGATTTGAATGAATTAAGTCCATCTTAAGAGAAAAAAATGTATTTATTTATTTGTTGCAAACCTGGTAGGCCAATAATATGGATAACTATCCCAGCTCTAAACAAAGTGTAAAACATGTTAATGCCAGTAAAAACAAGGAGCCATTCAAACTATCAGGTACAAAAGTTCAGGTCTATATGTAAAAATCCAGTTAAACTGATTTTCATTAGACCATCATCAGAACACTGATGATGTTACCTAGTTTGGGTAATTAAACGTCTGCAAGAAAACAGCCAAGCTCAGAGAGTACCAAAGATCCATCCTTTCAACCCTAAGCTACAAATAGTCTCCTTTATTGGTACCTCATAGAGATTTCAACAAGATCAGCAACGAGAGGTCAAGTTTCTTGAGTTTGTTTCTCAAGAATAATTTGGTTAGCTGAAGGGAGATTTGAATGTTCTGAAATAGCTTTTAAATAAACCTGACATTTCATGAGTATACTGGATTACCATTCCTTCAACTGGGAAGATTGGGAGTTATGGCCTGAGCCCTGAGAAGAATGTCTGATTCAGGAAAAGTTACCTACAATAAGAAAACTGGGCAGACCTGGATTCTATCAGTATCATTGTTTCCTGTAATTCTGAGGCAGGAGGCTTTGTTAACTATGTGGAAGGTGAGAATTTTAGGAAGACTGAAAACAAAACACTTCGCTCATTTGGGAGGCAAGGACGAAGTGACCACTAGCATCATATCCGGGAAAGGGGAAGGGTTGGGATTGGAGGGGAAGATGGCCAAGGCATGATTGATGTTTCCACAATTAACATTTTCAAAATGAAAAAAAAGGAGGGCAGAATGAGCAAAGAGTAAAAAAAAACCAGCAGTTGCTGCCATACTAAGCAACTCCTTCCTTGTGTACTCATGTCATCTGATGGCCAAAGCTGTCAAACTATCTCACTGCCACCTATGTTCGAGCTGGCAAGTAGACAATCTTTTCAGGAGAATCCAGCTTCCAACATCTTCCAGACCTTTTGGAATAATAATGGTTTCCCTGCTGTGGAACCAGGGACTTCTAGTAGAAAAGCTACTTTGGTAATAGGAAATCCTTAAAACCTCACTTTCAGAACATTTTATTCACCAGCTATATTTCTAGCAGACAGGAGACCAAAATCAGATATGCAAAAAAAAGAGGTTCATCCTCAACAGGAAAGCACAGCTATATTGAGTATATAATGGCAATTACTAAGTGCTTAAAGTACATAATTGCCAAAAATTAAGATAACATTAAATCTGTCAAAATTCAGTGAATACACTCACTTTCTACTGTTGCCAACATTTTTCTCTTAATACTATAAGAATCTACATAAATCCATCAAAACCACATTAAAGCTACCACTATACCATTTGATTGAAGTGTTCCTTCAGAACCAAAATGACTACATGTCAATTTACTTGGAATTAGGGCTCACAAGGGTGCAAACTAAGCCAAAAACATTGTTAATTTAGTGTTGGATTAGCTTGTGTTTCAATTCACTCATCTGTGATTTATTCATCAAATCATGAGAAAAATGGGCTTGGGTTATGAGTGATGCATAATTAGTGCAATCACTGAGGGTGGATATTTTATGCCTTAAATATATTGTCCTATAAATATTTATTTGGGAGAAGGAGACAATGAACCTAGTTGTGAGACTCTATGGACAGGCAGAGCTGCAAGGATATTGGCATGATCGTATATGTAGAGATACTTAATTGTATTATTTCTACTACACACATGGATGCATGATGCAAAGTTTTATATCTTGTTGCTGAGTATCATAGATCATGAGGTTAAAAGATGGCACCAATTGCTCATTCATCGAACTGGCTATTCTCAAATACAGAACAGCAGGAAGGATCTCAGATGTCCTCAGAAATATAACGTTTCTAAAAAGTTATCCTCAGAGAATGCAGTGTACATACCATTTACGAATTATGATATAGCATACAAGAGTATGGAGACGATCTTACAGAATGCAAGAACTGTGAAGTAAAGTTTAATTTAGATCTGGGAAGGAAGACAAGGTGAGGAAAAATCTCAAGATAACCATGCCTTGATTTTGTTTGATATAAGAGGGAGCAGAATAGGTTTCCAGGATTCTATCATACATAGAATAACAAAGTTGGAAGGGACCTTGGGAGATGTTCAAATCCAATCCTCTGCTTAGGCAGGAAACCATTTTAACCAAACAGGCAGGGCAGAATATCAGCAAATAGCCCTTACATCAACAAAGTAGAATTCTATTAATCTTTGTATTGACTGCTGCCTGAATGAGCTGACACACAGAGACAGACACACTAAAAAAAAAAAAGCTATCTACAAGATCTTTTCAAAAGATTTTTAAAAAAAGGATTCAGCAGTAAATCACACAGCTCCCATTAATACAGCTAAACCTTTTCCTAGACTAGGACTCAAGTCTAACAGACAGAGTTCAGCTATTTTTTATTATAAAGAAGAATGAACCCAGATTAAATAATTCATTGCCTAGTGCCAGGATAAGAAGGTAAATTACATTCATAGCTCCAGTAGTAGAAACCCATATTTCTTTCTGCTCTTTCATGACTTTATAGACTCTTTGTACAATGTATGGCGGCCTTGAAGCTGAGCAGATACTAAGTATCTACATGACCAACAATTCATATCTCAGAAACAATACCTGTTGGTTTATTTATCACAATAGTGATCAATTAGTAATAAATATCAGGAAGTGGGGGGAGAAAGGGCTCTACCTAATGAAAAGGAAAATTGATGCATATAAACTACTTGTAGAAACTTTTGTTGAGCTTGGCTCTGGCAATAAATTTAATAAGTCTTATTTCTTTTATTTCAGTCAGTATTTCCATCTTATGTTACCTCCACATATACAAGCCAGCCTTTTGAATTTTATCCTTTAGTCTAGACTTCTTCTTCCATTTAAAAAAATATCAAGCATAATGTACATTAACATTAATTAGTATAAAAGCCGGACCACTGTAGGCCAGCACTGGAACAAAATAAAATGTAAGAATAATTTTAACAGAGTAACTCAAGATCAAGCTTCTCCGGCATTTCCATTAATGATTTAAAAGCATCACCCAACAGGGTTTATTAATAACAGCTACTCTTTAGTGCAAGACCATGTTTCTATATTTATACAGCAGTCAAGCCAAGGAGAAAGTCGTTTATGCAACTTTTCACATGGGCTTTGATGGGGTGGGATTCAAAATTTTTAACAACAGGTTCTGTGGGTGTGGCTTAGGTGGTGGGCGTGGCTTGGTGGTCATGTGACTGGGTGGACATGCCTTGGTGGTCATGTTATTGGCTGGGTGTGGTCAACTCAATATCACTCACATCGAGGCACACATCTCCTCCCCTGGCCTCTCATGACTGTGGGGATGCTGCAACAGTCGTAAGTGTGAAAAATGGTCATAAGTAAAAAAAATTCAGTGCCATTATAACTTTGAATGGTCATTCCACACAAGCAAAGTACCAGCAAAGGAGGGGGAAAAACTCCACAGTCCTCCCTAGTCCTGCCAAGAACGTAATAAGGGTTAACGGAGAGGCAGTTTCTGTAAGGAACACCAGAATGTTTCCTTCCTGCCTTCCTTACAGGATTAAGCCAGTAATTTCTTCTAACAACTGGATCTCTGAACTGCTTAGGATGTTAACAACCGGTTCTAGCAAATAGGTGCGAACTGGTAGAATCCCACCCCTGGGCTTTGAATAAATTCTCTAGGTTCATCTAGGAAGATACATGCAACATTATCCCAGTATCTATTTACTAAACCACAGTTGTCAAACCTGCAGCATCACGTTGCCATCACTTGACATTACACAATGTTTTTCCAATTTGTGGAGTTGGAGTGAGCATAGCCTGCTCATGACGCATCCAGCCCGTGGGCTACCAGTTTGACATCCCTGTACTAGACCAATGCTTACTACATGCTTAATTTTACATGACCATGGCCAGCACACAAGATAAGACTATTTAAACCAGATGGGAGCAGTGTGGAATGCAACTTGCCCATAAATAGCGCCCACTCTACTAACATTTCTTTAGATCTTAAAGTCCAAAGAATAACTAAAATAACCATGAAGTAATGGCTGAACTGGAGATTCATATGCCAAAAAATGAGATTCAGTATATCCTTGAGGGCGTGCTTAGCCTAGAAATTTGCCATTAGTACCAGTACTAAGTTTGCAAATCCATTCCTTATTTCGCTTTCTCTCCATGGTTTTTTTTTTCTTTCAGAAATTTAATTTAAGAGGCAAAAGACGTTGTTCCTACTACTATAGTTTACACAATAGCGAATCAGAACTACAGAAAATTACTGAAAGATCTTCAGCAGATCCCAATATTACTCATCTCTGTTTAAAAGTACCTGGTTACAGTATAATTGAAAGCAAGCAGAAGCTGGGACTTGTAATGGTATGAGAGAATAACATTGGGAGACAGAACAAAGAGCCACAGCAAAGGGAATGGTCAGACAAGAGGGAACTTAGCCACACAAGGAATGTGGATATAGCAAACATCTCAGAGGGTATCCTCCCTATTTTCTTGGACTGTAAAGGTGACCAGCGGAGGGG